ATTGTAATAAGCCGTTCCAACTAGTCCACTCGGACGTATGGGGACCGGCTCCGTCTACTTCGCTAAATGGTTTTAGATTCTATGTCATTTTTGTAGATGATTGCACGAAATTTACTTGGTTATATCCTCTTGTCATCAAAGATGAAGTGTTTACCAAATTTCGAACTTTCTGTGCTCTTATCAGAACAAACTTTAATACTAGCATTCAAAATTTGCGAACTGACGGAGGAGGCGAATTCCTCAGCAATGCGTTCCGAAACTATTTGGCTCAACAGGGAATAACGCATCAAACCAGCTGTCCGCACACCCCCGAACAAAATGGATCCGCTGAGAGGAAACATCGGCACCTTCTTGAAGTAACCAGAACTCTACTTCACGCCTCTCAACTGCCGCATTCGTTTTGGGCCGAAGCCGTGTCCACGGCAAATTACCTTATCAACAGACTTCCCTCGGCTGCCATTAACGATCAAATTCCTTACACTCTACTACATGGCACACCGGCATCCTACAATCACTTGCGAACATTCGGGTGCCTATGCTTTCCCTGGACCAAACCATACGCTCGTACCAAATTAGATCCGCGCTCACATGCATGCATTTTTCTTGGGTATTCCACTCAACATAAAGGATATCGATGCTTCGACACAGCTCACAAGAAGCTCTACATATCGCGGCATGTGACGTTCCACGAAAATATATTTCCATACGCTGCTACGTCCAGTGTCTCTTCATCCACCGAAGAAGCAACGCCTAAGAACATTTCTCCTCTTCTTTTGGTACCTACTTCAACTCTGAATTCATCCACTAGCTCTACCAAGGACATTGCGTCTTCCAATCAAATCCAGCAGATACCCCATCCCACCGATTCCTCAGCCGCAACCAACATTGAATCAGCCAGTCCGCCTATATATGATACCAGTTTCCAAGATTCTTCTACCCTCTCCGCACCAATTCGGCACCCGATGCAAACACGCCTACGCTCAGGGATCACAAAGCCAAAGCAAATATTCACATTATCCGCTACCGACACGGCGCAAATATTCACACCCCCACTTCTTACAATCTGGCAGTAAAGCACGCACATTGGCGCGACGCTATGTCCTCCGAATTTCTGGCATTGCAAAAACAGAATACCTGGACACTTGTTCCAGCTCCACCAGACAAGCCCATTATGGGCAGCAAGTGGACGTTCAAAACGAAGCTCAATCCCGACGGTCAAATCATCCAATACAAAGCTCGCCTTGTTGCACAAGGCTGCTCGCAAGAATTCAGAGTCAATTTTACCGAGACATTCAGTCCCGTCGCCAAAATGGTAACCATTCGAATGCTTATTACAATTGCTCTAACTCATAACTGGTCAATCAAACAGTTGGATGTGTCGAACGCGTTCCTTCATGGTGATCTTCAAGACGAGGTGTATATGCGACAACCTAAAGGTTTCGAGGACAAGCAACACCCGAAACATGTGTGTCAGCTGCGGAAATCCATCTACGGCTTAAAACAGTCCCCGCGGCAATGGTTTCACAAGCTAACCAGCTTCTTGCAAACGCTCGGGTTCAAATTCAGCACAGCAAATCCATCGCTTCTATGTTTTCAAAACAACAACACAAAACTATTCGTCCTAATTTACGTCGACGATATTCTCATCACCGAAAATAACTCGACCAAGCTAAATGAAGTTCTTCAAAGCCTCCGATTGGAGTTCAGTCTAAAACAACTCGGCGACATATCTTTATATCTCGGAATACAGGTGATCAAAACTAAAACCGGTTATTTTCTGTCTCAATCACACTACGCACAAAATCTTCTTTCCCTTGCAGGATTCGAGAACTGTAAACCATCACCGTCCCCTGCATCACCTCGGGTGCAACCAAATCCAGACAATCACCCTTTCGCTAATCCACAGTTGTTCCGCAAAATCGCTGGCTCTCTTCAATACCTATCCATCACTAGACCGGACATCGCGTTTACTACAAACGCTATCTGTCAGCAGATGCACCATCCTCGCAACAGCGATTATCAAGTACTCAAACGACTGATGCGGTATATCAAAGGAATGGTTGAGTTCGGTCTTCCAGTTCGACACGGTCCGCTACAACTCAGGTGCTACACAGATGCTGATTGGGCTGCGAATCCCACTGATCGTAAATCAATCTCAGGATTTTGCTCCTTTCTAGGACCGAATCTGATCTCCTGGTCCGTCAAAAAGCAACAAACAGTCGCCAGGTCCTCAACAGAAGCAGAGTACAGAGCTCTGTCGGCTGCGACATCAGATGTCATATGGATTCGGCGATTGGCCTTTGATCTAGGAATCCCACAGCTCACTCCCACCACCATCTACTGCGATAACATATCAACGATAGCTCTCGCACATAATCCGGTCTTCCACGCCCGGACCAAACACATCGAAATAGACTATCATTTCATTAGGGACCATGTACAAAGAGGTACCATTAGTATCGCTCACATTGGTTCATCGGATCAGCTTGCCGATATTCTAACAAAAACCCTTCCAATAAATCGATTTCTGGAACTTCGCTCCAAATTGACCATTCGATCCTCGAACGATCAATTTGAGGGGGAATGTTAAGTCACCATTAAGATAGCTGATACGTCAGCATTCCAGAAATGTCCTCCGTGTATTAGTCATCTATATATATCTCTTGTATTTGTAATACGGTAGATAAGAATACAATAAAACATTTTCCTTCTTCTTCATCGTTCTCGCCTGCTCCCCTTCTTCGTTCTCAATCTTCACAGTTTAAAGAGAAAAGAACACCAAAGATTTTTTATGTGAAAAACCCACACGGGGTCTCGCCCAGATGACAAAATTCCACTAGCTTTGAATGAATTACAAAGCTTGATTCGCTTCTTTACTTGGAGATGGTGGAATTAAAATAGGTTGGAGAGTTCGATAGAAGACTAGCGATGATCAACGAATGAAAGTTTGTCAATGATCGGGAAGAAACTCCGGCGGTGATCAATGATCGGACGGAAGTCCGATGATTCCCGAAAGGCGAGTGAAAGTCCGGCGATGGTCGAGAAGTATTTCGGCGGTAATTGAAGAACGGGAGCAAATCCGGCGATAGTCGACAAACAAACGGAAACTACATCACTCTCTACCGCCACGAATTTTTCAAGACTCTAACATATATCAAAGAGTCATTAATTTTAACGTATATCCAACAGATATCAAGGATATCCTTGCACAATTTTTTTAATCACCGCTTCTCTAATCTCATCAATTTTGAATGCAGACTCTGATACTAGGAAACAGGAATGACATTGAGATCATGACTGGAAGCAGCGGCGTTGTCCTTACAGCGGTTCTCAAGCTAGTTGATAGGTATGATCTCTATGGCCAGGTTGCCTACCCCAAGCACCATAAGCAATCAGATGTTCCTGAGATTTATCGCCTGGCCGCCAAGACCAAGGTAATCCTATTAATTGTTAAGGCTCATGAATGTTCAGAAGTATACTTGTGCTGAAATATTGAAGTTGTTGGATATCATTTATAGTTTTGATATTTTTGATTGAAAATGATTTGATCATTTGTTTAATTTGCATGCTATCGTTTGTTCTTATCTGAAATTGAGGGGTTGTTTGATTGCCTGATAAAATGTAATATAAAAAAATATTAATGTAGTGTAAAATGAATGCAGTGTAAAAGAAATACTTTGGAGATGTTTAGATGAATGTAAAATAAATATATGACTTTATATTTTTTTTGTTTATACTATAGGAAAATCGTCCATCATTGGGGGCTTGACCGTCAGAACTACCGGCAGTTTTGTCTTTTGGACCGGCGGTTTGACCGCCGAAAAATAGAGGTGGTCAGACCGCCAGTAATTCCGGCAGTCAAATGACCGCCAGAAGTTCCACTGATATTCAGTGAATTTCCTGTAGTGTTTGTATTGAATAAAATGAATGCATTGTAAACTGCAAGAAAATTGTAGCTGAGGTATTTAAAATGCACTACCTGAGACATTCGAAATGCACTCATTTTACAATCACATTTTACTAACCAAATATCAAAATTTCTAGAACCGTTATATTTGACTTACTTTACACCATAAATACAGGCAATCAAACAGCCTCTGAGTGTCTCATTCATGCTTAATTGTATTAGATACTATATGCTTCAAAATATGTTGATGTTAAAATTTAATGTAGCTCAACTTCACAAGATGAGCAATAAATGTTCTGACTATTAGGGTAAAAGCTATTATGTCATTATATAAGAGCTACTATATATGTCGTTATATAAGCCCAATTATGATATTTCTTTTGTGTAAGAGCTACTATGTCATTATATAAGCCCAACATGCCTCTCCTCATATAAAATGCATCATGAACTGTGATTATTGTAGATTTTCATATTGATTGAGAGAACACATGGAATTTCCATTTATAGAACTATTGTGCTCAATTTTAACTAATGAGTTTTAGATTGATTGATCTGGTATCAATAAATGCATTGCAAATTTAATAATGACTCGATCAAATTATTAAATGAGTTTGCAAATAACATTTTGAAGCTTATGCTCACTGTTATTGTTATGTGCTAAAAACTTTGTTGCGATTCAATTTTTAGTATGTTATCTTTATAAGAAGTCTCATATACACAAATAGAAATTGTAAGTGACCTTCTTACATATAGAATCTAAAAAATCATCATAATTGTAATAATCCACTGTATAATTGTAGGTACAAGAATCTGCTTTCTCCACAATTGAAAATTACATATTTACACAATTAAAATAATTATTTAGTTATCATTGTGGGGTTTACAAAAGTTGAGTGTCCTCTTGTCGATATATTTGAAGTCTAATAATAGGGCTTGATGTTAGTAATGAAGCGTCAATAATCATATGATAAAAATCAGGCAATGATAGTGACAATTAATGATGGTGTTTATCAGCAATGGTCATTGATAAATGTAATTGATTTCTTTAGATCTCTTAGCTTTTAAGTCCCTTCCATGTAAATAATAGTGTCCTATTTATAGATTTTTAGAAAATGATATTTTAATAAATTTGGCCAAAATCTAAAATACTCTAATAATTGGTTCATACTTATCCCCTTAATCATTGATCATTTATCTAGCATATAAGTGCCTTAATGACATCAAAATTATATGATCTTGGGTTGAATTCATCTTATTGAGCTGCTGATCAATTTGATTCTAAGCACACAAAATTTAGAGATTTTTTGTTTCTTTAACTAGTGTCTCAAAGTTCTTGATTATATTTCAAGTGATTGATTTGAACTTATTTTGAAGTAGGATTTATAGTACTTGATTTGTCGATAAATTTGTCTTGTTGAGACAATTAGTTCAATAATAAAATTTGTTAAAATAAAAATTTGAGTGATCCTGAATTTAATTTTAAACGTTTTTAATTTAAAAAATTATCTTGAGATTTTTGATAATCAAGTGAATTATCTAAAAGTGTTTTTTTTTTTTTTTTTATCATAGTAAAAGATTGAAGGCTTAGAAATTGGAGAACTTTTCTCTGATTTATCATATAGCTTATTGTTCTACACCATTTGCAACCAGCTCACATATATATCCCATCATTGCTAGGGAGTATTCATCAACCCTGCTCTCGTGGAGCCCTTCGGTCTTACTCTCATAGAGGTATGCTTAGCTTTCATTTAAACGCTTTAAGCATCTTTTTCTGGTCGTAAAATTGAAAATATTTCATGAAATTTCTGAACAGAGATTCCTTAATTTCATTTTCTTGAAGGCCGCTGCTTATGGCTTGCCTGTTGTGGCCACCAAAAATGGAGGCCCAGTAGACATTCTCAAGGTGAGAACCTGATAACTCGTTAGGTGGATATTAAATTTTATTTTGTATTGTCAACATATGTTCATATATATATTTTTTATTAGTAATAAATAATGGTCATTATTAATATATTAAAAAAGTTTATTAATATCAAGGATCAGCCTTAAGCCCATATCTTTTTGCTTTAGTTATGGATGTTTTCGCTAGACATTTGCAAGAGGATGTACCTTGGTGTATGCTTTTTGCTGATGATATTCTTCTTGTTGATAAGACTAGAGAGGGAGTTGAAGGTAAACTTGAATTATGGAGGACAATCTTAGAGTCTAAATGTTTTCGCTTGAGTAGATCTAAAACGGAATATATGGAATGTAATTTTAGTAGTAAAGACCTAGTGAGGGGATTGTGACTTTAGACGATCAAGTCATTAATAAGAGTACACGTTTTAGATATCTTGGATCTATTGTTCAGAGTGATGGGGATATTATCAGCAGAATTCAAGTTTGATGGTTGAAGTGGAGGAATGCATCGAGCTTGTTATGTGATAGAAATGTACCCCTCAAACTTAAGGGGAAATTCTATAAGATGGTAGTGAGGCCTGCAATGCTTTATGGTGCCGAATGTTGGCCATTAAAAGAGAAGCATAATACTAAGTTAAGTGTGGCATAGGGGTGTCAATTTTTGACACGACCCAAAACCCGACCCGAACCCGACCCGGAAAAATCCGTGAAACGGGTCGGGTTCGGGATGAACAAATCAACCCGTTTTAAAAATCAGGTCGGGTTCGGGTTGACCCAGCAACCCGAAATTGACCCGAAAATGACACGAAAACCCGAGATTGACCCGTTTTAACCCGATTTTGACACGAAAATCGAATATTGACCTGATTTTTTATCCGAAAATTAGCAATTTTAGGTCAACTTCAGGTCATTCGTGTAGGGTCGGGTTGACCCGGACCGAAAATCTGACCCATTTTTAAAAATGGGTCGGGTTCGGGTCGAACCCGAACTAACCCGAATGGAAAACGGGTCGACCCTAACCCGACCCGGGTAGAGAAACGGGTCAAAATTTCGAACCCGGACACGACCCGGCGGGTTGCCGGGTTGACCGACCCATTTTTTAAACGGGTCAATTTCAGGAACACGAACCCGACCCGTTTTGAAATCGGGTCGAGTCCAACCCGGATTTTCCGGGTCGGGTTTTCGTGTCGTGTCAAATATTGACACCCCTAGTTCCGGGTTCGACCCGAACCCGACCCGCTGACCCGACTTGACACCCCTAGTTTGGCAGAGATGAGGATGCTCAGGTGGATGAGTGGCTTTACCCTTAGAGATAGGATACGAGATGAGCATATACGTGAAAAGGTTGGAGTAGCTCTAGTAGAAGATAAGATTAGAGAGAGTCGCCTTAGATGGTTTGGTCACATAAAAAGGCGGCCTTCCGATGACCCGGTTAGGAGAGTAGAGGTATTAGATTTGACTTGTGTTAAGAAAGGTAGGGGTAAACCTAAAAAGACTTGGTTAGAAAATATTAGGAATAACCTTTCTTTATTAGATTTGAACGAGAATTTGACTTTTAATATGACACAATGGAGAAAAAGAATTCATGTAGTCGACCCCACGTAGTGGGATAAAGGCTTGATGTTGTTGTTGTTGTATTAATATATTAAAAAAGTTATTTTTTTTTTTAGAAAATTTACTTTATAACTCATTGTGATGCAATTGTATAAATACTCCCGTAGTCTATTTTCTTAGATAAATGTACTTGAATTTTTTTTTAGAAAGTTATATCCAATAAAGGATAAAATATTTTATTTACAGACTATTCATTTAAGTTTTGCTAAAAAAAAAGGCAAAGACCACATCATTACTGCGGTGGTTTTTAAACGAATGCTAATTTTGGGCATTAGCAGCAGTTTAAATGACCACATATTTGAAATTGATTCTAACTTGATTGAATTCAAACATGGTTTGCACCTGGCTTCAACCCTGGTTTGCGAGTTTGATTGGAATTCATCATTGTGTGAAGGAGAGAAGTTTGTGACGACTTGGGTCGTGATATCGACGGGCAATATGTGCAGGAGAAAAATTGTTCATAGTGAGAGATGAAGGGAGCATGAGAGGTTTTCAAAGTCTAGTGATATCTGGGGATAGGCATGATTGTGCTTCAATGATATGTTGGAGAAGGAAATACATCGTGGTCCGACAATGTACAAAAGAGAAAAATAATTTATGATGGAGCAAATAGACATTAATGATATATGAAGGTGTGAGAAAGCGAAAGACAATAATGGGTCAACTATGCATGTTAGGGGAAAGGTTAATGGAAATGGCAACATTTGAGAACAAAGGAAAGATTTGAATCATTATTATAAAAAAATATCAGATCAATTTGAATTAATATTCAAACTCTAAACAATTCAAATCAATTTCATTATGATTAATTATAAGCAATCTATGAATACAAAATAGAGTAAGAAAAAACTTGGGAGTATTTGTTCAAATTGAGGTATATAAAGGCATATTCCACTTTTAATTTTCTTTTTCTTGTGAGCTTATTTTGTTTATCGAACAATTAAACCGCCTATTTGCAATTATTAATATCTCACAGTATAAAGCTCTGATCATCTCCACAGACCCTAAATAACGGCGTACTAGTCGACCCCCACGACACCGTCGCAATTGCCGACGCTCTTCTCCGCCTTCTCGCCGACAAATCCCTCTGGTTTGAATGCCGCCGAAACGGCTTGAAGAACATCCACCGTTTCTCCTGGCCAGAACACTGCCTCACTTACCTCTCCCAAATTCATCGCCGCCTTATCACAACCCACCACCCCTTTTCCACCACGCTCCTCGCCGCCCCTCCGCTTCCATACGATCCTGCCACCGACTCCCTCCGCGATTTCAATGACATTTCGCTCCATTTCTCCGTCGACGGAGATCCAAAGCCAGTCAACGAAACCTCCGCCACCGCAGCCGTCCTCGATGTGCTTCACCGTCATCACCACAATCGCACAGTTCACAAAGAAGTCGGCACCGCAGCACCCGATTTTGCGCCCGGCCGGAGGCGGCGACTATATGTCATGGCGGCAGACTGCTATGATCTCAACGGACGGCTGCTGATCGATGATTTGGAGGCGGTTGCACGACAATTGATGAAAGTCTGTGGGGCCGACTTGTCTGCAGGGCTTGTGTTCGCAACGGGGTCCACCATTGAGGAGTCGGTGGAGGCAATGAGACTATGCCACGTGGAGATCAGGAAGTTTGATGCTTTGATTTGTAGCAGTGGGGCCGAGGTTTGCTACCCGTGGAGGGATCTGGCTGCTGACGTGGAGTACGACGCGCATTTGGAGTACAGGTGGCCGGGAGATCATGTGAAATCCGCTGTTCTGCGTCTCGCTCGGACGGACGATGCGGATTCTGATCTGACCGTTGATTTGAAGGCTTGCAGTTCGAGCTGCTACGCTTACTCTTTGAGGCCAGGAGCCAAGGTGAGAAGATTACACTTCAGATATCCAATGACATGGCATTTGGTGATCTAAGAAAACAATAAAATTTCCATATATGCCACATAATTTTTTTTTATTTTTATCTCTAAAAATCAAATTTAATATTTATTTATATAATACATTTTAATCACATTAAAATATATGTAGGAAAAATATATATATTTTACTTTTAAAAAACTAATATTAATAATATTTTATGTGATTTACAAATTTAATTACTATATAGTAAATAATAAATATCAAAATTAAATATTATGCATGTGAGTACATAAGTATTATGCGGCATGTATATAAGATTATGTTTGGAATAGTTTTTCTCCCTGCTTAGTTTTTCAAATAACAACTATAATTTGGTTTTACTAATACTATTTGTTATTTTCTTATTGTTTTTTTTATAAGCTCTTACTATAAGTTACTTCCCTCCTAATAACTTCATAAAAAACTTTATAAAATATTGTAGTAGTCCAAACAAATCCTAATTAAATCTCTCATAAAAATAATGTCCTTTTTGAAATAAAAAAAATTGCTTTAACCTTCATTTGGGACAGCTTTCTTATTGCTTTTTAAAACAGTGTTTTAGTACAAATTTGAACTAATATTTTTTGTACTAATAAGCTACTTTAAAAAGTAGTAAGAAAGCTGTTTCAAACAAAGCCTTAAACCCATATGCCAATATAAAAAAGAAAATTTTATATTTTAAATTTATTCTTGAGGGTTTAACATTGCCCATAAAATATTCAATAGTCTTTGATTATATTTTAAGTATTTGTAAACTATCATTTTATTCTTTCAGGCTTTAAAGATTGATGCCATCAAACAAAGACTACGAACGAGGGGCTTTCGATGTAATCTCATCTACACACGAGCTTGTACAAGATTAAATGTGATTCCTCTATTTGCCTCAAGGCATCAAGCACTTAGGTGAGAATATGATCATTTTTTTAATCAACATATCAATTATTTGTATTTAGTGTTTTCTTTTTGAAAATTATGATAATTTCAATTCATAAGATTTTAAAATCTTAATATATAAATTTGCAGAGAATTCTACTAAGTAGTGTTTATAATTTCTTAAGTATATCAAATATCCTAAAAGATAAGAAAATGATACAATACAATAATATTAATATTTCATTTTTTTGTATTCAATTTATGCACTAGTTATTCTTTGACCAATATGAATATCCTTTACATGCTTTGATGTCTAAGATAAAAATTGCATATAAATAAAATTTTCTATTAGATTTGCCCCCAAAGAAAATGCTTAGCTGCCTATATGACCCAAATGGTGAGTTTGGAATATGTGCTAGCACCTAATATTGAGGTTTCTAGTTGGTTTCTTTTAATGGCAACCACTATATAATTAAATTTAGTGAAATGTTTCTAATTAACAATAATGCCTTAATATTTACTTGATAATTAACTTTTAGATTTGTCTCTATCTATTTATGTAACTTTTATGTTTGATTATTGGTGAGATGTATAGAAGTGTCAGTAGAGTTTTATAACTAATTGTCCTATCATATTACAAAAGATTTTTATTTGTAATTGTGTTTTATCATTTGTTGAAGATACCTTGCTATTCGATGGGGAGTGGATCTTGCAAAGATGATAGTACTTGTGGGACAAAAAGGAGACTTCCTGGTGTTCACACATCTATAGTCCTTGATGGTTTGGTTAATCATGACAGTGAGAGTCTCTTAAGGGATGAGGAGAGCTATAAATTAGAGGATGTGGCACCCTTGCAAAGTCCCAATGTAACTTATTTGGAGAAAAGTTGTGATGCTTATGAGATTTTGAGTCTCAGTGCACAAAATATTTAGTTAATTAAGATTGAAGTAAGGACCTCAATGTTTTCTTATTTGGAGAAAGTTGTAATGCTTATAAGAGTTTGAGAGTTTTAATAGTTTGAAAATAAAATTGTAAAAAAATACAAAAATTTTGATCTATCAATTTTGTTTTGATTATTTTATGATGAAAAGTATTTAATATATTCATGAATTATTAATTGTTTTATGAAAAAGAACATTTTTAATTTGATTTACAAATTTTTATAATTTTATTAAAAATTGAATATTATAGTCATAATTATTTATATAGCTAATTATATTGCATGTCTCTTTTATGTGTTTTAAACATTTCTTCCATCATATTGTTCGGCACTAGCTAACATATGTGAAAATATATTTTATGTTAATAAATTTGCATGTCTCTTGATTGTGGTAGAAGCAATAAAAATTAATCTCAACTTTTTGGGAATTGAAGGTTGTGAATTTTTCTACTTTTCGATTCTCAGGAGCACCATCATTAGGCATTATCAACTAGGATGCCCCACCTTGAAGGCTAGTTGCTTTGGTAATTGATAAGAAAATTTTCTAAAGTAAGAATGAAAGAAAAGTTCAACATCATAAAAACATAATAGGAAATACACCCCATAAATAGATCGTGCATGGTTCTTTCATGATGGTGACTCACACTTCATAATAAGGTTTTGCCATCTCAAAATAAAACTAGCTAACGTCTCAGAGTGCTTTTATTAGATAGACACAAGGTTATGTGTATATGACATGCCTATAAGTGTCAAAGAAACTCATCATAACTTCATCTTACTCAATAAAGTTTTTGAAAGATCCATTTAGGAGATTTGCATACCACTCAAATGCAAATCCTGACATAGATGTCATAAATATACAAAACAAGAAAGCATCATTATTTCTAAAATTTCAATACAATACTCTAAACTAGGCTAGAAGCCATAGAGGATTGCTAGAAACATTAAATTATGAAGATGGATGAACAAATCCCTTGGGATATGAAATTACTTTTTACTCCTTAAGATATAAGAAAACTCTTAATACTGAGCTACTATCATAAATTTTTCTTGTATCTTAACCACTGAGCAAATGTTTGCACCAGAAAGAGCTTCAATAGGAGGTACTTTATATAAATTAGTGGCAGCCATAGCAAGTGTTGGGTTTGTAGGAGGAATGTATGTCTTTAACAAAATTGGTGTAGGTGCAAAACATGAATGAGGTATACGAAGGGTGGTTGAACTAAGATAGTTTGAATGATAATAGGCAATGGTGTTTGTCTATTATTGGCCTATAAAATTTTAAGTGAAACTCTGAGAAGAGTAGATTAAACAAAAAGTTAATTAGCCATTTGATCTATCAAATTGACCTTTACTGTGTTCATATGACCAATCTTCTCTAAAAGTTTTTTGAGAGAAAATCCATTTGTTTATAGGCATGCTCGAGTGCTAACTATGAAACTCATTAAGTAAGAGAAGCTAAAATCTTAAATATCAAGACACCTTTTGGTATAATGGTTGAAATTTTTTTAAAAAAATTCCGTAGTTAAACGTGCTCATCTCAGAGAAATCCTGAGATTGGTGAAGCAGATAATATCTCGAAAGTTAAGAGTTTGAGCTATTACAAATGGTATCAGAGCAATATTGTAAAACCCCTTAAGTAAAAGAAGATAAACTCTTAAACATTGAGGCACATTTTGGTGTAATAATAAAAATTTCATTAAAAAACTCCACAGTTAAGTGTGCTCGTCCAAGAGAAATTCTAGGATGGGCGACCTTTTGAGAAGTTACACCAATAGAAAAAAAACTTTTAGGTCCTTAGGCCAAAGTGGATAATATCTCGATGGTTAAGAGTTTTGGACTATTACAAATGGTATCAAAGCAATACTGAGCCAGAAGATGTGAGCTAAGTGTCATACAAGATAAAGTGTTATGTCATGAGAGCCACCTCTTGAACCATGTATGGGACAAATTAAGTGCTACGTGTCAGGAGTCACCGCTTAAACTTGTAGTGGCCACATCTAGAATCACATATGCCTAGTGGATGATTCTAGGATAAGGATACTGATGAGGATGTCAATTACTTAAGTGGGTGGGGGGAGAATGTGAAACCCCTTAAGTAAAAGAAGTTAAACTCTTATACATCGAGGCGTCTTTTGGTGTAATGGTCGGAATTTCATTAAAAAACTCCATAGTTAAGCTTATTCATCCCAAGAAAATCATGGGATAGGTGACTCCTCAGAAGTTACATCAACAAGATAAAATTGTTAGGCTCTTAGGCCAAAGCAAATAATATCTCGATAGTTAAGAGTATGTACTGTTACAAACACACTAATCGGAAGATGAGAATTAAGTGTCATACAAGACAAAGTTTTATGTCTTGGGAGCCACTTCTTGAATCATGTATTGGATAAAGTGCTACGTGACGGGAGTCACCACTTGAACTTGTTGGGGCCACCTCTATAATCCTATATATCTGGTGGATAATTTTGGGATAGGGATAATGACGAGGATGTATGTTACTTAAGTGTGGGAAATTGTAAAATTTCTTAAGTAAAAGAAGCTAAACTTTTAAAGATCAAGACATCTTTTGGTGTAATGGTTAAATTTTCATTAATAAACTCTGGAGTTAAGCGTGCTTATCTCAAAAAAATTCTAGGATGGATGACCTCCTGGGAAATTACACCACAAGGATAAAATTATGAAGCCTTTAGGGCAAAGTAAACAAAATCTTGATAGTTAAGAGTTTAGGCTGTTACACTAACACACTGGTCTTCATTGAAACCAGATTGCTCTCCCAACTCACCCTTAGTAAATGCGACTTGATGGAAGAGTCCTACGGGCCCCACAAAGGCCTAACTTAATAACAATCTCGATCGAGTCTCCCGATAATTATAATATGCGTAATGGGGAAATCCTAATATTCGTTAGCATTAATCATGTTATCTTTATAACAACTAAAATAGCATCAAGACTTTGTCCCACTACGTGGAGTTAGCTACATGAATCCTTTTTCTCTATTGTGTTATGTTAAAAGTTAAATTCTCATTTAAATATAATAAAAAAAGATATTTTCTAAAATTTTCTAACCAAGTTTTTTTAGATCTACCTCTACCTTTCTTAATATAAGTCAAATCTAATACCTCTACTTTCCTAACCGGTTCATCAGAAGGTCGTCATTTTATGTGACCAAACCATCAAAGGCAACTCTATCTAATCTTTATCTTCCACTGGAGCTACTCCAACCTTTTCATGTATATGTTCATTTTGTATCCTATCTTTAAGGATAAATCCACTCATCCACCAGAGCATCCTCATCTCTGCAACACTTAACTTAGTAGTATGCTTTTCTTTTAATGGCCAACATTCTACACAATAGAGCATTGCAGGTCTCACCATCATCTTATAGATTTTCCCTTAAGTTTGAGGGTGACTTTTAAATTGATGTTATATGTAATAACCCTTAAATTTTAAAAGATATATTTTGACCTGCAATAGTTAAAAATTATTTCATGAGTCATTATAAGTTCAAATCATAAATCATTTTTTGTCATAATATAGATATTATCATATTTTAATTATACTAATTATTTTCTAATTTTTAAGTATTGTTGCAATTCTTAAGACATGTCAGTACAAGTGGAGTTTTTGGGATCGTTATGTGCATTTAAATGCAACATAATAAATCACTGTGATAAGTAAAGTAATATATAAAAGCATGATAATTATCCAAAGATTCAAATAATAATAATGACTAGTTAATTAAACTAAAATTTATATTATGAAACATTTTATATCATATATTTTTCCAGTCCTAAACATAATCTCATAGGATTCTGGCCCCTTATGACTCCCAACAGAATTTCTCCATCTTTTAGATATAATCTCAAAAGATTCTAGCCCATTCTAGCACCTAACAGATAGGTTTTCATATTTAGATTCATGGTTATAAACATAATCTCAAAGGATTTTAGCCTGGTATATCTCTAAGCAAATATTTTTTTCATATCAAAACTATTCAAATACACATAATTCAATCACATAAACACATGTTTTTTCACATTGTAGCAATTTAAGTATAATTAGATAAATTTCATAATTACATAATTTTCTATAACAATAAGCAAAAAAAATCCTACCGAGTTAAAATGTATAGTATTAGACATAACTAAATTACCAGATATTGTATAAAGCACCATCTTAAGATTTTAATCGTACTACAATACTATTTTTAGAGTCTAGATTATTTTCTATTCAATAAAAACTGCTTAAGTTTTCAAACTCAGGGGTATAATTTTTAGAAAATATTTAAAATAATATTTAAAATCTCAATCTCTATAATATATAAAAAATTATACTGTGAAAGTTTTTGCTCTCTAAAGTTATCCTCAATTTTTGATAATTGAAATATAAATTTAATCTGGAAATTAAAATAAAATTCATATTTTGAAAACTGATATAGACATAATATAACTTGCCTCCAGATGAACAAATTTCTTAAGTCAGCCAATTAGTTAAAATGGCCCGAAGCCATTCAAAATGGATTTTTCTCTCTCATCTCTCTTCTATTTTTCCTCTCTTTTCCCTCTCTTTTTTTTTCTTTCAAATCTCTGTTAAATGAAATGAAGATAGAATGGCTTTTTTCAAATGTTTTTAATAAAATTAATAAATCTAAGACATGTTTGAAGTTTTATATAATATTCCTAATGATAATGATAAAAACGATTGTTGCGGGCTAGAATATACGCGGCGATAGAGTTATAATTCTACGTCTTAGCGTTGCACGGATATCCAGCTCACACACAGAGAACACAATATTTTTTACGTGGAAAACCCGGGAAAGGGGAAAAACCACGGGGCCTAGCCCAGTTGAAAATGATTCCACTAGAATTTGAGAAAAGTACAATGGTCTGACTCGTCCTTGAAGGCGACCAGATTACAAGTATCAACTAAGAGTTTTGCAAGAGTCCAACGTCACTCCAATGTCAGGTGGCGATCCGATAGAACTCCGGTGTCAGGCGGAAGACCGGTAGTGGTACTTCAGTGTTAGGGGGTACTTCAACTTCGGATGGCACTTTAGCATCCCTTGGTGGTCTGTCGGTGGTACGGCAGAACTAAGCGGTGTTGCGACAATACTCCGGCGTCACTTGGTGGTCC